GAGCCCTTGGGTGCACACTTCTCTGGGAGCATGTGTGAAGACACTGGTGTCCTAGGTGGCTCCATGTGGGCCCCCATCCTAGGATCTTTGGGTCTAAGACAAGAATGTGGCATTGATGTCGGGTGGCTGACTCAGGACAGGGGAACACGGTTGGGGGGCATCGTGGAAGCAAGGAGGTCGCCATGAGCGTGGGGACCTTGGGGTGGATTTTCAGACGTCCGTCCACGAGATGAGATCAACATTACTAAGGGGGCAAGCTGAGGGTCCCAGGGGGGCGGTATGGGCCGCTCACAGTGGGAAAACACAAAAGTCTTTGAAATACTTCTAGAAGGACTCCAAGATGGCACTACGTAGTGGGAAACACTAAGACCGAAAACCCCAAATGACTCTGGGTGGCTTCTGTATGTAGGCGGAATCCTCCAAGCATCCAAAATAAATCTTGCCAAGACTAGCTGTTCAACAACATTCATCAATGGATGTCTAAATCTGAGTGATAAATTAAGAGCCAATGTGTTGAAGCCATGTAAATTTTGTTGTCCATATTGTTTAAGAATCCTTAGGAGGAGGGGGAAGGTGTCCTAAGACTTGTATTACAGTGGCAACAGGTTTAAGAGCATAAAGAAACTAGTGTTTTTGTCTTAGACTGACGGCAGCTTTATATTCAAAGCGAACGCAAAGGTGGTTATTACTATGCACCTGGCATTGTTCTGAGAGCTTTACACGTGGGGATGGATTGTTAACCCCCAAAGCAAATCCCCGAGACCAGTACTATTATTATCCTCACTTATCAGAAAAGGAGCTGCGGCCCTGAGAGGTTAACAGCCGCGCCCAGCATCCCACAGCTAGGAAATCGCAAAGCTGGGATTGGAACCCACACTGTCAGAGCCATCAGAAAGGGGAGGGGAGTTCAAGCAGATCGTAGTCAACGAGCCACCAAAACAGGAAACACTTCTGAGCTCGGAGACAAGGATGTCTCCCCTTGATGCTGGCCGTGGCTCTAGACCGGCAAAAATCCTCGCATGAAGGGAAAAACACTTTGCAAAGCAGACTGGCATCTGTTAGGCAGAACTTAGCATCTAATATCTGCAGAAGGTGGTTCCAGTGCCGCACGGACAGAAAAAAACGGGCTCTGCATTCTCTCTGTTTCTGTTCTTGGGGACCCTGTGTGCTCAGGCTTGGGGTTTCTCTGCCAACGGACCTCTGAACCTTTTCTGGTGGCTGCGTCCCTGGAAGTGATCAACATCACAACAGCTGTTCCTGTCCTGGGCTCTCACGCCCCTCAGGTCCCCAAGAAATCCCAGGAACCCACTGCTTGTTTTAATTTGGATGAAATAGCTGTTTTAGGATTACACTTGAAAGGTGCTGAGTTCAGGATCTAGCTTAGGAGTCAAGTTTTTCTCACTTAAACTCTATTTGCCTTTTTGTCAAAGGACTGTAAACTTTCTTTTCTCAGGAATCCACTCAGCTTTTTTCCATTGGTGATTTTGCATAAAAATGGGTTTCACAGGTAGGTAGTGATCTCCATAGCATTTTTTTTTGTTTTTTTTTTGCGGTACGCGGGCCTCTCACTGCCGTGGCCTCTCCCGTTGCGTAGCACAGGCTCCGGACGCGCAGGCTCAGCGGCCATGGCTCACGGGCCCAGCCGCTCCACAGCATGTGGGATCTTCCCAGACCGGGGCACGAACCTGTGTCCCCTGCATCGGCAGGCGGACTCCCAACCACTGCGCTACCAGGGAAGCCCTCCACAGCATTTTCTATGGCCTTGACAAAGCAGCCCTCTAATTGTATGTCATCTTTGTCCTCTAATAGTCACAATTATTTCTCTTAAATTTTGGAGCGTATTTTAAACCTAAGTCGAATTATTGTTCCCATCACTACTTAGGCTATTTTTTTGAAAAAAATGTTCCATTTAATTTTCCTGCATTCTCCCTAGAAAATGTAATAATTGCTTCCTCTGGTCAGTGGGCCTCAATTGTAAGAAAGATTCAGATCCCGTGGTGGTCAAAATATTTATCTGTGACAGAGGTGAGACAGAAGCATCCTTTGTTCGGAGTGGACTGGAATTTTAACAATAGAGAAAAACACTTTTTTAACTCAACATTTTTTTAGTAGTATATGGAGAAATCCAGGATGAAATACATTATTAAAATAATTTTGGTAAACAGGAATAAATATACCTATTAGAAATATAAGGTGACACCAGGTGCCTCCTGTTTTATCACATGCTCTACTGATTTACTTTCTTTCTGTTGAAATGACACCTCTGACAGTGTCGATTCCTGAGTTTTTGGTGAGCAACAGAACAGACCCTGAAGTAAGGCTTCGTATCTTATACACCTACATGCAGTAAAATGCAGTCCAGTTGCTCTCATTTGAGCAACTCCAAAGTGGTCTAAAGAAATAATACAGAGAATACTCAATGTATCTTTCTATAAAAAGTGTCCAAAGTCCAAATTGCACTATAAAAAGGCAAACACCCCTATAGCTTTTACCCAACAAATCTTCAGAAAAATTAATTCTACATTCTGCACTTGTCCGAGCTACGTTGCCATACCACCGCTGCTCCCTGTGAGGATGCTGGAGGTGTATTTACTGACTGGTCCTTAAAACTGCCCGCCCGGGCTTCCCTGGTGGTGCAGTGGTTGGGAGTCCGCCTGCCAATGCAGGGGACGCGGGTTCGTGCCCCGGTCCGGGAAGATCCCACGTGCCGTGGAGCGGCTGGGCCCGTGAGCCATGGCCGCTGAGCCTGCGCGTCCGGAGCCTGTGCTCCGCAACGGGAGAGGCCACAACAGCGAGAGGCCCGCGTACCGGAAAAAAAAAACAAAAAACTGCCCGCCCGTCTGTTCACACCTGGGCAGGACAGAGCTCAGGTGGCTAGTGACGGAATCTACGTGCATGGCTTTCAAAAGCAAGCGGGTAGGGCAGGCCCTTAAATGAATTTGTTCCGGGAGCCTGTACTCTCTTGGAGTTTTAAGCACACCAAGACTTGACTCGAATGTCAAGTTCAAAACAGCCACCGGATTTGCAGCTTTTGGGCTGGAGCAGAAGAGCCTTGCTTCCCCAGGCCTCTGTCTGTAACAGCCTCGGCCCCGCTGACCCTGATGGAGGACAGATTCTAAGTGGCTGCAGCTTCTCGCTGCCGAAAAGGCTTCTGAAGGAGATCTAGGGGTCAAGGGGAATGAGAAGGGGGGACGGAAAGAATTTGAAGGTAACCTGCTTCCTCATTACCTTCTGCTGGAGAGGGAAAGCAGGCCCTGGAATGCTTCCTGCAGCCTCACAGCCTGAATTCATCTCGAGAAGGCAGGTGCTGACCTGTAAGTTGTGTAAAGCGACACAGCCAGTAAGTGCCATCTCTCCCAGCATCAACTACGCGACGGACGGGAGGTTCCCCGTTATGGATCCCTTCAGTATATTCATCTGGGCCATATGCACATTGCTTGTCTGGGCTGCCCGGCTCTTCTCCAAACCAGAAAGGTTAGGTCACCTTTGAATATGCTTGTCTGAGGTCAGGGGCTGTTTGGGGAGAACGCGGGACCCATGGCAATTGTTTTCTGTTAATTCCATTAATTTCTTTTGCATTTGGACCCATGGGCCACTCGATAGCTGTAACTACAAAATCACCATCTCCATGCAAACAAATGATCGAAGTGAATTAAATAGGTGTGTGATGCTTTCTAGTGGGACAGTCTCTATGGTTTTATATAAAAAAGCTGAAAGGATAAAGCAAAGAAGGAAATTTTCGGTCTGCACCTAATTCTGCTTGGTTCATACGTGTTAACTGTGTTTTGATCTGCCACCTTTTTCTACCCAGGAAGCAGGTTTTAGACCTCTGTCAGAGCATGTGTGATTAGTAGTCAGCTTTCAGAAAGTCATAACATTGTAGGATAAACAGGAAACCAAACATTTCACAATTATTTGTTTGTAAATTAATTTTTTCTAAAAATGGCAATATTGGGTGTTTAATGGAACACAGAAGTTACATTTTAAAAACTATGTAACCATCCTACTCTGGGGTCAATTTGGAATTTTTAGCACCTTTATTAAGGTACCACATATAGAGCATAGACTTCCAATTCAACCATTTTTAGTAAATGTATAGAGTTCTACGACTATAGTGCAATCTAACATCAGAACATTTTCTTCACCCCCAAAAGATCATTTCTGAAACCCAGCTGCAATTTCTCCCCATCCTCACGCCCAGCCTCACTAAATTCTGGATGGGCTGCATCTGGGCTTTCTTAAAAGGGAGGAAATCAACTGTTAGCTGAGGTCCTAGCGTGTTTCAGATGGTTCCTGATGGCTGTATGTATGTGTACACATGTGTATATGTGTGTGTGTGTGTGTCGCGTTTTACCATCTCACGTACATATTAGCACTGAGCCTCCCTCTTCCCTCCACTTTGTTTTAAACAGAAACACAGGCTGCGAAGCTTAGCATCTTGAAGTTAGAGAACAAAAAGGGTCAGAGCTCGGAGCTTAGAGTCTGTTAGTCAGTGTGTATTTGCTGAGTGCCTGCTCCAGCGCAGCGGCAAGCTGTCAAGTTTATGAGACTGAACTGTGACAGTCCTCTTAGAGTTCTCTGCTCAAACAATTAGTAAGGTTTTTTCCTTTCTCACCAGCTTCTCCCAAGCAATTAGGGGTTGGGAAAAAGATGGAAGAGAGAGAGAGAGAAAGAGAGAGGGAGAGAGAGAGAGATGGATTAAGGAGGAAATGCCACAGTTCTAATATGGTTAAATTTGCATCCTAACAGCTATTGCATAATCAGCTTCGTCTCTTGTTCTGTTGCAGTTAAACAGCAATGCATGGGGTTTGTTTTTTTATAAGCTATGTCTCTTACTCTTTTGAGCCTTACGCATGAGAAATCCATTCCATGCATAATCGAGTGGTAGGTCTCTGCCTTCTGGCAGCGCACGGCAGGGTGATTTCTGTGCATGTTCTCTTTGGGGGTGACTCTGATGACCCTGTCCCCACGAAACCCACTTCTGTCCTTGTCAACCTCAGGCACGTCCATCTGGAAAGCCTTTTTCTTCACACCCAAGTTCTTCCCCGAGGGCGCCAACGGATGCTTTACCACCCACGTGTGTTTCTGTCACGGGCAATACGTCACCTACCACGACCCGCCTCTGCTCTTTGACATCTCGCAAGACCCCAGGGAGAGAAACCCGTTAACTCCGACGTCACAGCCCCGGTTCCGGGAGATCCTGGAGACCATGCAGGAAGCGGCAGCCCGCCACGCTGAGACCCTGCGGGACGTCCCCAATCAGCTGTCGCTGGGGAACCTTATCTGGAAGCCGTGGCTTCAGATGTGTTGCTCATCGTCAGGCCTGTCTTGCCAGTGTGACTGGGAGAAGCAGGTTGGGAGAGGAAGCCGTTAGCCATGTGCGTCTGGGGGCGCCCGGGGCCACCCCACCTGCTGCATCACAGGCGAGCTCGGGGAGTGGCAATGGGTGAAGCCAGCCCTGGCGGCTTCCACCCCGGGACTCAGATCCCTTTTCTCTGTCTTCTCACCTGGAGGCGCCATCAAAACCCCACATTTACGCCCTGGGGAAAAAATCAGGGGTTGCGGTAAACAGAGGCATAGGCCTTAGTCATGTCTTCCAAGGCCAACGTTACATGAATGCGGTAGGCGGGACTTCACTGAGTCTGGCCAACACCAGTGCAGACGGAGAGCAGGAAGTTGCACAGGTAACCTGTTCATCTCTCAGCCAATGCATGTGATCCACGACATAAGGCATCACTTACTCCACAAGCTGATGTGATGCTGTGGCCACTGTGATTCCCCTTATAGCGCATCACGAAAAAGAATAAAATTTAAAGAGTGTTTACTAAATCCAACACATGCAACGTTATAATGAGTAAAAGACCATCTTGACCCATCATGGATGATGGTAAGTTCCAATTTGGTTATTGGAAGGCAATTACTGTCAGTATTATTTGCAATAATATGAAATACTATTCATGATATATATGTTTATATATATACACAGTTTCTTCGAGAAGTTTACAGTATTTAGAAGCTTATCACTATTTAAGTAAAAACAGTAGAGGCTCACAGCTCTGTCTGTGCTGCAGCCTTTTGGTGAAATCCCTCAGGAGCAGTAATGCCAAGACAAATCTCTCCTGTACGGATTTGCATCCCATAATTTGCAGCATTCTACTTGGGTTCTGCTGTTTCTTTGGTGAACAGAGGTTCTGAACTCAAAGGCCACTTCAGTGATGCTGCAGTCCCTGGAATCCCTTCTAACAGGATTCAGAATTTTTGGCATGTAAAATGTGCGATATTTCATGGGGGGAGAAAGACACAAGCAATCCATCCACGACCCATACCCATGAACGGGACATCTTGAGTTCTTGCAGAATTTAATGAAGAGAGAAGGTGGTTCTTGTCCGTACTTGTGTTTTCTGTGGTCTGATCCTGTGGCTAAGAAATATCTATGCCTCCACCATGAGATGTGCAATTTTGTTTGAATTCCATTTCCTGCAACCTCAGTAACACAGGATGAGGCATAACCAGGTCACGTCGCAGACTGGGGGTTAGGGGCACAGCTGGAGAGAGTTCCAACGTCAGAGCCACCAGCCCCTCCTGAGGAAAGGATTCACCTGTGCAGAGAGCACTTAGGTCACCTTCAGGCGCTGAACATCCTCCAACAATATCATGCAGATTCCTTTACTGATCCATCCTCAGGAGCTGTGGTCCATCTGCCTCCCATTCATCTCTTTCGGGAACATGTCTGAACATCTGCTCTTGGCTCAGGGTTTTCTCGATCCCACAAGAGTGCAGGCCAATGGAATACCCCACCCCACTGGTACCCTTTGACCCCTCCGGGCACTTTGGAGAGAATGTGTACAGTGTGGCTCAGGCTTTCTGACAGTGGACTCTCGTTTCCTCTGTTTGTGTCCACTGAAGAATTTCTAAGATCCAGCAGCATGTCCCCAGCTCCTCTTTAAGGTCTACTATTTCAGATTTTAATCCTTCTTTTTCTTAAAAAAGAGAAAAGATTCCCGCCTCCCCGCCCCCCCGCCCACTCCCTGGGAATGGTTTAAAGTTGGAAAACAAACAGGATTCTTTCTTTTAATGCGGATTTCTCATTGCAGAAATTGCCCGAAATCTGTCACATTGTTTTAGGAAATAGTCTCATGAAAGAATGCAGCAGCATGTTACTAATGTGTTAAGATTATTGCTATTATCATACAGAAACTATATAAAGCTACTGTTATGAAGTTACGTTTGAAGATGATCATGTTTACTCAGAATTGAACGTACTCAATGCAGATGGACTTTTACAAAACATTTTATGATGTAAGAACATGTGTTTGAGGGTAAAATAACTTGAAGGAGTTTTATAGATGATGTAAATACATAGCTTTGTACAGAATTAATTGTTTAATCTGTACAATGGTAACAGCCAATGAAGAATCCATATACCTCTGGGCTACAAGGAGCTTTAAAGTATTTGCCTCAAAATAACTTGGATCACCCTTCTGTTTCACCGTATTTGAAAATCAGGTTTATTTGTCATAATCATAATTACCATAGACTTCAGACCACTTACCATCTGAAAGTTTTGCTTGGAATGTACAGCAGGAAATTGGAATTCCCATCGGTGTGGCCTCTTGAGCTGTATGTGCAAACCTTAGTGAGTTTTGAAGCTTTAAACAAATTCTTTTAAAAAAAACCTTTGTATTTCTAGCATTTCATAGATGTTAAAGGCTAAGCAAACACTAGTCTATAGACAGGGCACTATTTGACGATGTCAGTATCACTGCATGAAAAGCAAAATCACAACCTACGTATCAAGGTAATTAAGGATTAAAGAAAGGAAACAGATTTCAGGTAGCCCTGAAGGACATCCAGTGAAGGGTAAAGAAACGGGAAAAGTATTTGGCATCTGTCTGAACAGTGCGATCTGTGAAGTGTTTGCCTCTGTGCAGGTTTCCCAGAACCTTGTCCTGATGTTAATGCAAAATTAAAATAAAATTTTCCTTGGCAATTAAACATTCTGTGCTGTCGTGCCGTGCTTTCCCACAGGACTCAATTCAGCAAGCGTGCGGAGTGTTTCCTATGTTTGGGGCACGATGTTAATTGATGGGGAATATGGGTTTTAGTTCAGCAAATATTTATGGAATGTCTGAGGCTCCGGGGAGGGGTAGGAAGTATAGAGATGGCTAAGAAATAAATAGCCCATGACTTTCATGATTAGAGGGCAGGGCAAGGGCCAAGTTATCCATCACGCACATGGCCTCTTTTCAGGGGCTCACAGAAAAATGTCTAATGTCTTTTTAACGTCAGAAACAAAAACTGAACATTTGGGGTTGAAGATCATAGGCGCACAGGTACCAACGCAGTCATAAAATAGAATTCTTGCGTGTTTTAATATGGTTTCTGTTGTTATGTAACCTGTCTTTATCTTGAATCTTATGCATATGTTTCCTTCCTGGACCTTGGAAGTCTTAACCGGTCCTGGCCCCAGCTGAAGCAGCTTCTTTGCTCAACAGATGTTTGGGGCAGGGGAGAGTCTAAATTTTGATATGACAAACCTTGCCCTCTCTTCTCTACCTTTCGACTGGGTTCCCTAGGAAGGCAGAAGCAGAGTCAGACTAAACCGCTGAAGCCATGAGAACAAGGAAGGAATGCAGTGATGCTGGGGCTCAGGTGGGCTCTCACTGACCCAGCCATTCTGGATAAAAGCTAAACCATGCCCGTCGGGAGGCGGGCTGACCTGTGCGTCATAGTAGGGAGAGGTGTGCGTGGATGAAAGATGTTGCTTTGCACAGGCTCCTGTGCAGTACAGGCCAAGCTTCGTCACCTCCTCTTTGGTCCTGAGAGGATGTCAGGTGTGATATCAATGACCAAGTGCCTTGTAAACTATAGCTGCCTGACTCCCCTCACCTCCCATCCATCTGGGCTGCCCTGGCCTCAGACAGGACAGTGTGGGTGCCCTGGCCATCCTTGGTGTTCCGATGCCGCGAACCGGGTCTGTGTTGCTACACCTGCCTCTAGCTGACATCACTTCCTACCATCTCTTTGTGTGATGGGCTCCGAATTAAGTGATCGTAATTTACCAATATTTAAGAATGTCAAATATTATGTTAGAGGAGCTGTTTCAATTAAGGAAACGTCCACTTACCTAATTAGAACACAAGCAACTTGAAAACGACCCGTGTGTTCATGCAAAGGAAATACTGTCATGAAGCAATTTCTCAGTTTTCTGAGAACTCAGTGGACCTTACATCTAGGAGAGCCTCAAATGTTTGCCCTAAAGGCGGTTCTCCTCATGAAGTTCAGAGCCTCTAAATGACCTCTCAGGGTACTGCTGTTTATCTTACCCATCTTCAAAGAAGCTGATTGTCAAATGAATGTATAATATATTCAAAACAGAAATAGGGCTTCCCTGGTGGCGCAGTGGCTGAGAGTCCGCCTGCCGATGCAGGGGATGTGGGTTCGTGCCCCGGTCCGGGAAGATCCCACGTGCCGCGGAGCGGCTGGGCCCGTGAGCCATGGCCGCTGAGCCTGCGCGTCCGGAGCCTGTGCTCCGCAACGGGAGAGGCCACAGCAGTGAGAGGCCCGCGTGCCGCAAAAAAAAAAAAGAAAGAAAAGCCGTAACATGAGTTGGTGAGGGTGTGGAGAAATTGGAATCCTCTATATCGTTGGTGGGAATGCAAAATGGTGTAGCAGCTGTGAAAAACAGTATGGAGATTCCTCAAGAAATTAAAGGTAGAACTACCATAGGGTCCAGCCATCTCACTTCTGGGTATTTATCCAAAAAATTGAAATCTGGATCTCAAAGAGACATCTGCACAACCATGATCATTGCAACATTATTCATAATAGCCGGTATGTGGACAGAATCCTAAATGTCACTAACTGATGAATGGACAAGGAAATGTGGTATATGCCTGAATTCTTTAAAGACTGTCAACCGTATGAAGGTGGGAAACAGAGAAACTTAAAGATAGAAGTATACTGGACACTACCACCACCTGCCCACAGGCCAGCACTGTGGAGAGGTGATTCTGCAACTACAGTGTGAGTGAGTGAGAAACAGAGTTGCTTGCTTTATACAACCAGCAATTTGATCATTACTTAAATGTTGAGATTCTTTCTCAAAGTGGAATATTACATTTTGCATCATGGATTATAGGAAAATAGCAGATTTTAAAATATATATGCCTAGGCATGATGGTATTTCTAATAGTAAAATCTTCTAATGAATACCTTTTTATAAAATATTCTGGCTAGCAGATATTTGGTCCTGTCCAAAATTGTGTGGCATGGACCAAATATCTCATGGACCTTTTTGACAGGACCAAATTTCAAGGACCTTTTGGCATGGACCAAATGTCTGATGCACCAAATGTCTTACAAAAGTTTTGG